AGACGGAAATTAACAAGCATTGTCAAGGATGTAGCAATAACAGAACTCTCCACTCTCATACACCGCTGCTGGGAATATAAAACAGTGCAGCCACTGTGGAAAACGGTTTGGTGGTTCATCAACAAACTAATCAAACAGTTACCATATGACCTTGCAATTCTACTCCTAGGCATATATCCAAAGGAACTGAAAAGAAGTGTTCAAAAACAAACTTGTACATGAATGTTCATGGTAGCACTACTATTCATAATAGCCAAAAGGTGGGAACAATCCAAATGTCCGTGAACAGCTGAATGAATGGAATATTATTCAGCCATAAAAAGGAACGAAGAACTGATTCATGCTACAACATATAAACCTTGAAAACACTATGTTAAGTGAAAGAAGCCAGACATAACAGGCCACACACTGTATAATTCTACTTATATGAAATATACAGAATAGGCAAGTCCAGGGTGATAGAAAGCAGATTTATGGTTGCCAGGGACTGGATGGAGGGGGTCATGGGGAGTGACTGCTTCATGAGTACAGGATTTCCATTTAGGGTGATGAAGTTATAGAACTAGATAGTGGTGATGGTTGCACAACATTATGGTTGTACCTAATGCCACTGAATTGTACACTTTAAAATGGCAAATATTATGTATACGTTTTCTACCATAATATAAACATTGCACTACACATATAAATTTTGCAAGTTACTTTTTTAAATATATGTCTCTAAGCGTTTTCCATGTCAATATGTATAGAAACAATTCATTCTTTTTTAACTACTGTATGATATTCAATTATATATTATAGCTGATTGAATCATTACTCTTTGGATGAACACTTAGGTGGTTTCCAAATTGTTGCTGTTAAAAACAACGTTACAATGAAAATATCAGTATATGTCTTTCTAGGTCCATGTGTGTGCACTTCTTTTAGAAGAGATACTGATCAGTGGATTTGCTAGACTGAAGAATCTATATGCATTTAAAGTTTTAATAGCCACTGTCAACCTGCCCTTTGAAAAAGCCTCCAACAGTGCACATATCTTTACTAATACTTGGTACTACAAACTTCTCAATCTTTCAAATTTTTAATCTATCTGATAGGTGAAAATGTTTCCTGATCACAGCACCTTTTTACATTAGAGAGGCAGTCCAACATAGTGATCATAAGCATGGACCCTGAAGCTAAACCATGTGGGTTCAGATCCTAGTCGTGGCACTTACTACGTTTGAGACCTTAGGCAAATTATTTAACTCACTGTACCTCAGGTTCCTTAGCATGAAATGGTGATGATAACAGTTCTTACATGTCACAGGGCCAGACTAACAATTAAGTGAGTTAATACAGGAAATGAGGCGCCAGCCCAGTGGCGCAGCGGTTAAGTTCGCACGTTCCACTTCTCGGCAGCCCGGGATTCGCCAGTTTGGATCCTGGGTGCAGACATGGCACCGCTTGGCACGCCATACTGTGGTAGGCGTCCCACATATAAAATAGAGGAAGATGGGCACGGATGTTAGCTCAGGACCAGGCTTCCTCAGCCAAAAGAGAAGGGCTGGCAGTAGTTAGCTCAGGGCTAATCTTCCTCAAAAAAAAAAAAAGAAATGAGCTATTAATACACTACATACATAGTAAATGATTGTTAGGTGATGCTGGTATATTCGGTCCATTAGCAATCTCTTGATTTTCTTCTGTGACTTGCCTGTTTGTTTCTTTTGCCAATTATCCCCTTCCCAGCTAACGTTAACAGTGGTGGTCCAGGTGTTGATATTATAGTTTAGTTTCTTTCTTTACATTTTTATGTATTTTCAAAATTCTTTACAATCAGCATAACTATTTTTATAATCAGAGAAAATAAAAGCACACTTGAGATGTCAACATAAATAACCTTATTAAGGAAAGTTTATTTCTTGTTCAAAATTGATAAAAGGTTCCTAATATTTACTTTCTATCACAATCATCTGACCATTTGTTAACTTATGGCCTCTTTTTAACAGTATTGTTACATAAGTCATTTATTAATATAAACAAGTTAACAGGACAAATATACTAGAAAAAACTTTCATAGGTTTATGATTTATCTCACAAATTAGAATATATTTTTTATATAGCAGAGAATCTGATATGCAATGCACTCAAATGTTTTTGATTAAAATCGTGGCAATGACCACCTATGTTTTGATTATATTCAAATTATTAGAATATTAATAACTACCACAAAACATCTTGACATCTGCACTGATCAAATGAGAAAATATATTTTTTTATTTTTTTAAAGATTGGCACCTGAGCTAACGTTTGTTGCCAATCTTCCTTCTTTCTTTCTTTTTTTTTTGTGGAAGATTAGGCCTGAGCTAACATCTGCTGCTAATCTTCCTCTTTTTGCTGAGGAAGACTGGCCCTGAGCTAACATCTGTGCCCATCTTCCTCTACTTTATATGTGGGATGCCTGCCACAGCATGGCTTGACAAGCAGTAAGTAGGTCCACACCCAGGATCCAAACCTGCAAACCCCAGGCTGCTGAAGCAGAATGTGCGAATTCAACCACTGTGCAACCAGGCTGGCCCCAAGAGAAAATATTCTTTAGATCCATAATATTATAAACTTCCAGAGTACAGGAAGTCTATCCAGAATTCTCACAACTTTTACCTGAGCAAAATGCATGCATGGCACATAGCAGGTGCTCAATAAATTTTTGTTGAAAGAATCCATGAAAGTTCTCTCATATGTTAATTTTAAAAATATCTTTTACAGTCTAGACATTAGTTCAAAATATAATGGAAACTTATTAAATAACAAAGGTGACATTTTGATTCTGTGGGAAAATTAATACTGCTTGAATTAACCAGCTACCCATCAGAAATGTTATTCATCAGAAATATACTTGTAGGGGCTGGCCCCGTGGCCAAGTGGTTAAGTTTGTGCGCTCCGCTGCAGGCGGCCCAGTGTTTCGTTGGTTCGAATCCTGGGCGCGGACACAGCACTGCTCCTCAAACCACATTGAGGCAGCGTCCCACATGCCACAACTAGAAGGACCCACAACGAAGAATATACAACTATGTACCAGGGGGCTTTGGGGAGGAAAAGGAAAAAAATTAAATCTTTAAAAAAAAAAAAAAAAAGAAATATACTTGTAGCATGGACAAAAATGAACAAACGTTAAAAAGAGGAGTGATAGGGGCTGGCCCCGTGGCCGAGTGGTTAAGTTCGCGCTCTCCGCTGCAGGCGGCCCAGTGTTTCGTTGGTTCGAATCCTGGGCGCGGACATGCCACTGCTCATCAGACCACGCTGAGGCAGCATCCCACATGCCACAACTAGAAGAACCCACAACGAAGAATACACAACTATGTACCGGGGGGCTTTGGGGAGAAAAATGAAAAAATAAAATCTTTAAAAAAAAAAAAAGAGGAGTGATAAAGAGGATTCAAGAAATGGGCATTCACACACACACTGCTGGTAAAATTATAAAGTACTGTAACCATTTTGGAAAGTAATCTGAAAATATCCTAAAATTGGAAAAATGAATATATTCTTTAACCTAGAAATAAAAGCACCAGTTCATCAGGTATGCAAACAAAATATTCACTGAAGCAGTGTTTGTGAGGCTAAGGGGGGTGGTGGGAGGAGAAAAAACCTGAATATATAAAAGAGGAAAAGCTGAATAACTGGGATATTCATACTCTGCAATATTATACAGCTTTCTTTTTAAAGGAAGGAGTTTGATTTATGTTCTCCTGGAGGGATACACAGATTGGAAAAAGCAAGCTGCAAAAAACGTGTATGGTATGGGCCCCATTTGCTAAAAACTAAACAAAACAAAAACTATTAACAAACATGTATACGAATGTATAAACGTGTAGCACCGGACAAGGTAAGGAAGGAGACTCACCATGGTGCACCACTGGCTCCCTCAGGGAGTGGGAATGGAGCAAGACAAATTTTTCTTCATATGCCTTCACTTACTGTTTTAACAGTTACACTGAGCACATGCAACACATTTGTAATTAAAGAACAAAACTTAAGAACAAACAAATGCCTAAATAAAAGAACACCCCCCCATACAAATGGAGGAAAATCTGGCAAATAGAAAAAATTAAAAAATCAACAACATCCAGAGTTCTACCAACCCAAAACCATAACCGTTGTAAACATTTTTGGTGCATTTCATTTTATCATGTATTTATTTGGCTAGTTTTTAAACCACTGTATGTTAGCATACAGTGATACGTATGGAATTCGTACTCTTATTTTGTTCATTTAATGCTGTAATATTAAGATTTTTCTGTTACTAGAAGTTACTTTGTAAACAACTTTTATTGGCTACATAATATACAACTTTATAAATATACTATAATTTACTTAACCATCACACTTTGGTGGACATTGAGGTTATTTCAAATTTTGTGCAATGATGTCTGAATTTCAGTATCAGCTTTGACAGACTTGCAAAAAGTGAATTACTGGCAAAACAGTATGAACATTCAAAAGTATTCCTGAAACATATGCTCAAAATTGCTTTTTAGAAAGTAGGTACTAATTACTACCAGGTATGAAAGCAAACCCCTGTCTCACAAAACTCGTATCAACAAGTGTTAGAATTTTTTGATTGTTGCTAATGTGATAGACAAATAATAGTATACCTATTATTTTAATTTTCCTTAAAAAATTTACATGAGACCACATGATTTATATAAATACATACATATACATACACACAGAGTCATCTATGTCACTTCTTCAGTGAACTGCTGTTTATGCCTTTTTTGTCCATTTTACAATAAAATGTACCATGCTTGATTTCTGTTGTTCTAAAAACAGTCTCAAATTAGCTTACAGAACGCTATATGATGAAGACTTTTGAATCAGGGTCAGTGGTTCACTAAGAAGAGAGTATCCTAGCAGCAATACCAAACAACCACTATACACTATAATTTTTCAGCTTAGTTCAGAAGTTCTATCAGAATTATTAAATGTGCAATAGATTTTGTAACAATTATTGAATTTGATACCTGCTGAATTCCAAGGCACAAGTATAAGATACTGTCTGGATCATATTTTTCACCATTTGGTCTCCGCACCTCTTGGATAAACTGGCATAAACCCAAACTCAACTCAGAAAAAGTGCAGGACAGAATATCTTCCTTCAGCTTGACAGAGCGGACTGTGGAATAGAAAACATCTAAAATGTTAACTTGCAAGAAACACAGTAACATTAGTTGATTCACTGAATAAACAATGACTACTATTGTGCTCCACGTACTGTGGTATACACGGGTGAACACATGGATTAAAGACAGACCCTGATCTCAAGGGTTTTTAGTTAAAGAAATAAAGACAATATGGTGTGCATATGGTGTAACAAGTGCAATAATAGAGGTTTCATTTAAACAGGATTCTATGAAAGCAACTGAGGGACATCTAATAGACAGGGAAGGATCAGGTGGGATTCTGGACGACGTGATACTAATGCTAGACCTTGAAGGGTGAAGAAGAATTAAACAGGTGGATAAAGAATTCCAATCTGAGGATAGAAAATAAATTTCCCAAAGTATATTCCACAAAATACTAGGTATGCGAAAGCTGGAGAAAACTGCGTTTCTAAGATCTGACAAATTTGGAAAAGAGCAGCATATTACATCTGCCTCTAAAGAACTCACAATCCTTTTTGGCGTGTTAAAGCCTCTGAGGATATCTGCAAAAAAGAATGCCATTTAACTTTAACTCAAATTTATTTGAATATAGAACACTTCAAATAACATATAACACGTTTATGCCCTTAGAAATGCTGGAATACAGTAAGTGCTCGGCCACAAAAGTGAAAAGGTTCAGGGTTGCACAGGAGAAAAGCAAGAAGGGCAGATGGGGGCATATGCTGGTAAGCCTCACATATCATATTAAGATTTTGAAGACAAGAAAGAGCTCAATTTTACACAGGAGAGTTATCCAATTTGATTTGTAGAGATCCTGCTACAACGGATTGGTCCACATTGTGGGATTTAGAACCGAAACATCCTTTCTAGTTATTGCTCTTCTGCATTCAGACAAGTTTGCACATTTCCAAAAATAGACTTGAGCTCCCGAGAAGGTTTCACAAAAGGTAAGTGGTGATTCACAAGGGCAAGGACCATGTTCGACCTTTTCACTCGAGTACCTACCACCATGCCTGGTACATGCCAGATATCCACTAAGTATTTTTCAGACGAATGAGTAGTAGAAATGAGTAGGCATCCCCCATGGCTACTGCATTTCAGCCTGGTAGTCTAATAGAATATTACCTCTCCATTCCCACTACCCTTCTTTTTTCGTAAAAACAAAGAGTGCTGCGTGGCTCAAAAGTGGATGGTAAAGGGCCTAACAAACCTCCTAACAGGAGTATATTTATTATCACTCTGGAGCAGAGAGATTACACTTGATCTGTAAGAACTCATGAGTCAGTCAGAGACCAGAGCAGCAACTAACTGCTCCAATAAGGAGGGTTACATGTACCCCCAACCCAGCAGGGTAGACTGAGGTGAAGACAAGAGTGCATGCAATCACCCAGGTGTTAGAGAGAAGATACAGTTGGGAAGGGGCAAAAAAATCTAATTGCAAGGACATCTCATCCATTCCTGTCCCATCTCATTCCATGAAGATTAAGTATCTTACATAAAACACAGATAATAAAAAAGCAAAATATAAACTGAAAACAAAAGTTTACAATAGGACATCAAAACCAGGGAAAAATGAAAGCTAATGTGGGCTCTAAAATTACACATTGCTGCTCTATTTGAACTCTTTATTGGGTCCCAAATTTCTGGCACCCAGAGCAAAATCCACAAACATGGTCAGTCATACAGAGCTTGCTGTTAGGAAAAATTCCTGCAGAAAAAGCAAGGGTTTCCAGATATTTTTCTCAAAAAAAAAAGTGTCACACTTGGTTCCGTATGGGTTAATCTATAGATTCAGGGCTCAAGACAGATTTGAGCCACCTGCATAGTGTTAGAAAAAGAAGAAAAATTCCTTATATTTGCATCACAAATGCATGATCAGAAGATACAACCTTACCTTTATAACAAGCTCTTTAAAATCAGAAATATGATATTAATTTCTTTTTACCACAAGACTTCAAACTTTAAATATTACACTTACAAATTTAAAATTGACAAAGATATTACACGTAATTCAGACCATAAGCAGAGAATCGAGTTTTACCTCTACAGCCTGGCTCTGAGGATTCTTGAGAGACTGCATGGTCTTGAGCACTTCCTAAGGGGTCAGAACATGGGCTAGATGAGGCATGTTCAACTCCTGACAAGGAATAAAAATAAATGAGAAGTTTAAATAAAGATGGGAAAAAATTTAAGTAAAGCCCAAAACAAAGTTTTATGGGATTTTTGACCTAGTATTTATCTCTTTTGAGAAGATTTATAACTTTATCAATATTCCCCCCACCTCCTAATGCAAGACACAAGTTCATGCTGTGTATTTACCGCCACATTTCAGATCCCCCTGCTCTTCCTTGGCATTTTTCCACTGAACCCAGTTCTTCCAGGCATTTACCCCATACATGTATTTGAGTGTCATCCCAGACACTGAGCACCCTTGAAAGGCTCCTTGAATAAGGCTCCTGGGCTCCACAGCTACTACAGACTTCTTCCGTCCCTGTAAGGATTCCAAAAATTTACAGAACGCAAAATTTAGTCTCGGATATTTAAGAATCATAGTTCTCAAAGACAGAAAGGGCATAAATGTACAGAATATAGAATTTAGTAGTATATCCTAAAGATTCAGAGTTCTTAGAACTAGAAAGAGCTTTACAGATTATCTAATCCAATCTATATGAGAAAAGAAAAAAGAGAAAGTTGAAATGTAGAAGATCATACTGTAATAATCACTAACATTTAAGTACTTACTATGTTCCCGAGACTGGACCCACACAATGAGGTATGAATAACCGTTATTACCATTTAGGTCTATTTAATGGAATACACATGAATAGATCATATTCTGGGCTATGAAACAAACCTCAATAAATTCTCTTAATACAACAGAATTAACTAGAAACCAACAATGGAAAGTTGGTAAGAAAATCTTCAAAAACTGGAAATTAAACAACACATTTATAAATACCCCAGGGGTCAAAGAACAAACTACGAATGAAGTTAGAAAATATTTTGAACTTAAGAGAAAATTATGAAAATTCTGTAACAGTGGTAAAGCAGTGCTTATAGGGACATTTATAGTATTAAAATGCTTCTATGAGAAATGAAAAAAGTCTAAAATCAATAATCTAAGCCTCTATCATTTTTTTTTAAAGATTTTATTTTTCCTTTTTCTCCCCAAAGCCCCCTGGTACATAGCTTTGTATTTTTAGTTGTGGGTCCTTCTAGTTGTGGCATGTGGGATGCCGCCTCAGCATGGCTTGATGAACGGTGCCATGTCCGCGCCCAGGATCCAAACTGGCAAAACCCTGGGCCACCGAAGCGGAGTGCTCAAACTTAACCACTCTGCCACAGGGCCGGCCCCTAAGCCTCTATCTTAAGAAACTAGAAAAAGAAGACCATATTAGAACCCAAAACAAGGAAAATGAAGGAAATAATAAAAATAAAAGCAAAAAATCAATTAAAAAAGAAAAATCAATAAAACTAAAAGCTGATTCTTTTAGAACATTAAAAAAATCAATAAATTTCTAGCTAGAATGATCAAAAACAAGAGAGAAGACACAAATTACCAATACCTGATCCTACAGACATTAAAAGGATAATAAGAGGATATTTGCACATCATTATGCCAATAAACTCGACAATTACATGAAATGGACATGTTTCTTGAAAGACACAAATTAATAAAGCTTGCCCTAGAAGAAACAGATAACCTAAATAGCCAGAGAATTGGAATTCATAGTTTAAAACCTTCCCACAAAAAAATTCCAGACTGAGATGGCTTCACTGTTGAATTCTACCCAACAGTCAAAGTAATTATATAAATTATATTTCAGAAAATAGGAGAAAACACTAACTCACTTTACGATATTAACATTGCCCTGATAGCAAAGCTAGATAAAGTCATTATAAGACAACTACAGACCAATATCCCTCTTAAACAGAGATACTTTAAACCTTAACAAAATATTAGCAAATTCAATCTAGCAATATATCAAAGAATAAATACATCATAAGAAAGTAGGGTTCATCTCATGAATGCAAGGCTGGTTTATCATTTAAAAAATTAACGTGTTTCACCATTTTAACAGACTCAAAAAAGAAAAAACTAGATGATCATCTCAACAGATGCAAGAGACTACCTTACAAAGTTCAACACGCAATCACGATAAAAACTCTCAGCAAATTAGAAACAGAAGAGAAATTCCTGCACCTGATAGAGGCCATCCACGAGAAACCTACAGGTAACTTCATACTTAATGTTGCAAGACTGAACACTTCCCTAAGACTGGGAACATGCAGGAAGGTATGCTCTCACCACTAAGATTCAATGTTGTACTGAAGACCCTAGCTAGTGCAATAAATCAAGAAAAAGAAAGAAAATGCATTAAGATGGGAAAGGAAAAAGTAAAACTGTCTTTATTCACAGATAATATGATTGTCTAGGTAGAAAATCTTAAGCATTTTAGTTGAGTGAAATCACAGTATATAAAGTCAACATACAAAAACCATCTCTATTTCTATATGCCACAGGAACACTAGAAAATGAAATTTAAAAATAGTACTATTCACAACAGGATCAAAAAAATTTTTAAATACTTATTAGATAAATACTTGTACAATGAAACATACAAAAAATTGTTGAGAGAAATTAAAGATGATCTAAATAAAGGAGAAAGATACCATCTTCACAGATGGGACAGCTCCTAATTGCTAAGATGTCAATTCTCTGCAAATTGATCTATAGATTCAGAACAGCCCCAATCATAATTCCAGTGAGCTTTGTTACAGAAATTGACAAGGTGATTCTAAAATTTACATGGAAATGCAAATGACGATTTTGAAAATGAAGAACAAAGTTGGAAGACTTACACTCCTGACTTCAAAACTCATTGTAAAGCTACAATAATCAAGATAGTTGGTACTGGTATAAAAACACAAACATAAATCAACATAACAGTATAGTTTCAGGATTGACTGACATATATATGGTCAGTTGACTTTTAACAGAAATGCCAACGTAATTCAAGGGGGAAAGGACAGTCTTTTCCAAGAGTGGTACTGGAACAACCGGATATCCATACACAAACCGGATATCCATATACTTGATGCTTGCCTCCACTCATACATAAAAATTATCTCAAAATGCAACACAGACAAATATAACAGCTAAAACTATAAAACTAGAAGAAAACATAAGAGAATATCTTAGTTACCATCAGTTAAGTAAAGATTTTTAGAGGGGATACTAAAAAGTATAAAAGAGTAAAAATAAAGTGGACTTCCTCAAAATTAAAATTCACCATTAAGAAAAAAAAAAGGAAGTAACAGAATAGGAGCAAAAGTTACATTTGACAAAAGAATTACCTCCATAGTAAAGAACACTTATAACTCAGTAAGATGACAACGAATCCAATAAAAAACTATGCAATAGTTTTGAAAAGACACTTTACCAAAGAAGATCCACGAACGGCAAATATGCATATGAAAAGATGCCCAACATCGGGGCCGGCCAGCGGTGTAGGAGTTAAGTTCACGTGCTCTGCTTCAACAGCCTGGGGTTCACCAGTTTTGTTCCTCGGTGCAGACCTAGGCACTGCTTATCATGCCATGCTGTGGCAGGCTTCCCACATAAAACAGAGGAAGATGAGCAGGGATGATAGCTCAGGGCCAGTCTTACTCAGTAAAAAAAGGAGGATTGGCAGTGGATGTTAGCTCAGTACTAATCTTCCTTTAAAAAAAAAACCCAAAGAAAAACCATGCCCAATGTCATTAGTCATTAGGAAAATGCAAATTAAAACCATGATGAGATACCACCATACATTCAGTAGAATGGCTAAAATTAAAAATCAACAATACCAAGTGTTAGCAAAGTTATGGAGCAGATGGAACTCGCACATTGCTGGTAGGAATCAAAATGGTACTTCCACTTTGGAAAACAGTTTGGCATCTTTCTTACAAAATTAACAATATACATACTATAAGATCTAGCAACTCCTCCTGGATACTTTTCCTCAAATGAAAACATACATTCACACAGAGATTTATACTAGAATGTTCATAGCAGCTTTATTCAAAATAGCCCAAAACTGGAAACCCCAAATTTCCATCAATTGTTAAACAGTTAAACTGTGGTTTGTCCATACAACGGAATGCTACTGGGAAATATAAAGGAATGAATTACTGATAGATGAAATACCATGGATGAATCTCAAAAACATGGTAAGCGAAAAGAGCAGACACAGAAGACTACAAATCATGAGATTCCATTTATATGATGTTCTAGAAAAGGCAAAGCAGTATCATTTTGCATCAATCTGCAAAGCAGATCGGCGGTCATCGGGAGCTGGAGATGAAGACTAACTGCAAAAGATCACAAGGGAAATTTCCAAGACAGCGGAAGCATTATGATTGTGGTGGTGGTTACACACTGAATGCATTTGTCAAAGCCCATCAAATTGTACACTTAAAATTTACGAATTTTTAAATGTAATTATAACTCAACAGAGCTAATTAAAAAATAAGGCTTTTATTCTTTTAATTTTTGGTATGGGAAAGCCCTGTCAACATGAAAAATGGTCCATGTGAACTTCACTATTATACTACACCATACAAAATAGTGAACCTCATTATAATACATTAAAAAAGCTAAATTTAGAGAACTTAAAAAAAAGACAGAAGTCTATAACAAGGATTATAAAAAGCTTTTTAAAGTAAACAAAACAAAAAAAACCCTCAACTACAGAAATAAAAATAAAAGTCCCGCTAAGAGAAATGTAAAATAAAAGATACAGTTACTGACTTCAAGAAACAAAAATAAAAGCACAAAAATACAAGGTTGTAAAACAATGTATGGAATTCCTTGACCCTGGCTGTTACAGTGTTTTATAAACAGGAGGACTAATAAACACATATAGAATGAAGGAAAGAAAATACTAGAAAAATTAAGCTACTGCTTACTCTTCGTCTGGGTTGGGGGAAGCCGTCTCTGTGTCGTCGTCTTGTCCGGGAACGAGCCTGGATTCCCTGTCCTTTATTCAGTGGGTCGAAGGATTCTACAATAATCAGCAGAAGGCATAACATGAGGAAAATAACTCTCAGACTTAAAGACTTAGACTGTGGGAGGAAATATCAGGTAATCATCGCTATATTCATTATTTTGTGATAAAATAAGAATTTTACTTGTACACTTAAGAGAAACACAGGATACAGCACTTAAATAAACATTAACAATCAAGAAAACCATGGTTACTGTGGGAAAGGTAAAAAACAAAACAAATTAACCATTTATAAGAACAATATGGTACAAATTAACACCTTTAAAGGCAAGGACCATTTGAGACCTAGATTATTATCACACATTATAACTGCTTCACAATGTCATTTTAGAGTTGTACCAATGTTTTAAAATAAAAGATTTTCAGTGGACAGGTTACTCTGCACAAACCTGATGGGAAATCCGCTTCCAGATCTTGTTCAGTTTCCCCTTTGGAGAACTGCTTCAATTCTGAATCAGCCTCTTGCACTGCATTTGACTTTAGGGCATAATGATTCAACTCTTCCTCCCAGCTATGTGGAGTAGATACAGCCTCTGATTCAAGATCTCCACTGTATGTACTTCCTTGGTCTGAAATATATAGAAAACAAGCAAGCCCTCAAAATAAGATAGACTCTTGACATGTTCAGAAACCCTCCTGAACCCCTCAATACCAAAACTGAGATATGGTTGCTGAACAATTACCTAGGTACACTCAAGAATGAAGTGACTTGTTCACCACCTTCACAGAACTGGATTCATGTTCTTGGCACACACCTTAAAGTATCATCACACTTAATCCTCAAAACCAGTATCTGAGGTATTTTTCCTTATTCTCATTACAAATCAGCACACAATCAGAGACATCTGATGCCCCCTACAAATAGCTAAAATTGCAAATACTTTATGAGTTTGTATTACTAACAGAGGACAGTACTTCTAAGAGCCAAAATATATTTACAATTACAAACCTTTCTCAAATATCTTGGTGTCTAGAAAGAGTTCCTGTTCAGAAGTTTGGGATCCTAAAGAAAAAGAAAAGCACATAATAAAACAACTCGTATGTACAGTCATGCATCACTTAATGACAGGGATCTGTTCTGAGAAATGTGTCGTTAGGTGATTTCACCATTGTGCAAACATCCTAGGGTGTACATGTACAAACCTAGATGGTATAGCCTACTACACAGGTAGGCTACACGGTGCAATCTTAAGGGACCACCTTTGCATATGTGGTCCATTACTGACTGAAACGTTGTTACGTGGTGCAGGACTGTGCACACAAAGCAAACTGCATCTCAAATGAAATGACTGCACTATATACATGAATCATTCCAAGGAACTCTAAGGACACAGCCTTCATATGCAGAAAGAATGATTCACTAATAAAATCAGACATTAGTGGTAAATGCAGTTAAAAAAAATTATGACTGATAACAGTGGTTACACTTCTGGATAGCAGGATAAAAGAAATCACGGCAAGACAGACATTTATTTTGGATTTTAAACTCTCGTGCTATCAGAAATAACTGTCTTTTTTACCATGGTATGTACATATACACATACTATATTTATTCACAGACTGATAAATCTGCTTTAAATTGCTTTTTTCCCTCTAAAATATATCCTTTACCATTGCATTAGAAAGCCAGTAGACTTATAAGTTACATGAGCAATGAGCACATGAAACTAAACAGCAGACAGTTCTATCAATTACAGACTACTTTAAAAGTAAGAAGCTTAAGGATTCAAAGTATTAAAAAAAAAAAACCAAGTTTTTTAAAAAAGTAACTGGAAAATTGCTTCTTTTCCCTGCAATCAAAGATCAATTAGCCAGATCCCTTCAGTTGGAATTAATTTGTCTCCCCTATATGTTTCTAAACCATTTGATTTTACTTACACTATAGTGATTAAATATCTGTCTTGAAGCTTAGTTTTCAAAGTTCTTCTGTCTGACTCAATTATAGGCTAAGGCAAAGTCACAATATTTGTACAGAGAAAGCACTTGATAAATGTTAACTATTAATGTGAATGAAGAAGCCAACTTAAAATGAGGTTTATTGTCAGGAATTGCTTAAACTTCCAAACTCAGCATCAGAAGCTAGAAAATCAAGCACAGGACCAATATTCTAAGATACTGAAATCTACATATAAATGAGTCAGAATTATGAGATTATACACTAAAGAGTAAAATGAGACTAAAAACATCAGGATAATAACTAATAAGCTTTTTACCCATCTCTCAGAATATGTATAATTTAAAAGCTTACTGGCAACACAACAGAAAAGTTCATAGTACTTTTTCCAAATGCTACAGTGTGTGGAAAATCATCCAGCATTTATCGTGCAAAATCAAAACCCAGTGGCTAGCTTTACACAAACCATCACTGAAAAAAAGAAAAAATTGTCAAGAAAGAATTCTTTCTTGGCTTGTGAAAGAATTCTTTTTTGGCTTGTCAGTGATACACAGAAAGGCCTTTGTAAAAATTCACCTATGTATTTCAACTATCTCAAACATCTTCTCTCTCTCTTCTCATGGTTATGTCTGGTTAATATCATTTGCTTTGGAGTCAGACCTGGATTCACCTTCTGGTTCCATCACTTCCTGATTGCATAATCAGGGCAAATATGATATACTATCTTCCGAATGAATAATCTGAAGTAAACAGTACCCCTCACATGGGGTTGTTGTGAAGATTAAATAAGGTGATGCTATAGTGCATTTAGGACAATGCCTAGAGTATGGTAAGCACACAAATGTTAACTATTGTTATTATCATTACTCTCTACTCATAGAATGGGATTTATCTATCAGTCATTTTGAGCCAAATGTTTTCCATCTTAAGGTTCTATTTACATTCTACAAACATGCTGGTTATTATATAATAGGAATTCTTATCTGGGGACCATGGCTTTGAATATTGGGATAAAATCAGAAAATGATCATGAAACATGAATTTATAGGTTATTTTTCTGGAACCAATAAGAACTAAAAACTGTACTGAATATTGAGACTTATTTGCCTTGATAAAAAAGACAGAGCTTTCAGAGATATCAACAAGTTTAACGAATCCATAGACCTGGTATTTAAACACAAATAAAAGAAATACCTTGACTGCCCAATAGTTAAAATGACTTGAGTTACCTGAAAATCTGTGGGTGTGTTTTTTCTTTCTTTACTTTAAAATTATACCAACCTCCCTGGGACAGAGTCCTCTCCTTCTCTTCGTCTTCTGCCATCATTTCCGCCATCTCAAGGAGATCAGCTTCGAATGGATGGGAGGGCAGCTTTTCCTTAATGTCTTCAATACTCTCGGTGACTTTATCTTTGTTATCCATTGAGGATGGAATAAGCATAGGGACAGGCATCTGGAAGACCAAGGACAGACTGAAGAGTTTCTTAGGCAACAGGTTCGTCATCAAATCCATTATTTGTGAGATGATTTAAGTACTAAAATAAAAATTCAAGCTATTTCTATTGCTGATGACTAAAACAGTCTTGCTAGTTTGCTTTTATAAGACTACAGCCATTTAAATAAAAATACAATAAAAGCTTTTCTGGACATTCAACAAATTTTGTCTCTGACTTCTCTAAAAGAATAATTATCTAACACATTTTTGCTTTGTTTTTGATTATATTTCTTGCTTAACATTTTCACACAACTGTTTCCCTTAAGAATTCAGTACCAAGGAAAAATATGCTTCCAATAAAAAATGAACACATTTTTCTTTAATAAAAAGTAAGAATCATGTAAATCATAGTATTCATCTTTTCATCTGTGCCAGAATCTAGGATTATAACATACACATAGTTTCTGATCTTTTTCTATTTGAGTGGTTGCATAGTGTACAAAACATAAAAAAGCTACACCAGGGTCAGCCCCAGTGGCCTAGTGGTTAAGTTTGGTGCTCCGTGGCCTGTGTTTGGTTCATGGGTGCAGACCTACACCACTCATCTGTTAGTGGCCATGCTGTGGTGGTGGCTCACACACACACAAAAAAAATAAAAAGGAAAAAAAGAGGAAGACTGGCAATGGATGCTAGCTCAGGGCAAATCTTCCTGAGGGGGAAAAAACCCAACTACATCATAGCTTTCTCTGAGAAGGCAGGGTACAAATAATGCCAGTCCTTTGTATGTGCCATATTAAGTAATACAGTAATATGGTAATAGCCAACCAGAGTCAGGTATATTTTACCAACAAGTGGAAAGTATTTTTATGGAGCTGTAAAACTTTAATTGAGGAAAATGTATACTAAATTAGTCTTAATCTCTAAATGATTACTCACTGGAACTGGAACTCCAAATGGGACTGGCGTATACTGAGTATAAAGATGAAGAGGTATGGGCACAAACACTGGTACGGGAACTGGCACCACAATGATCTGGGGCTGACTTGGAGTGTCTTCTAATGAAAAAAAAGTCACAAAAAAACAGAGGGTTAAAAACACTTTAACAAAAAATTTTTAAAAAGCATATACAGATTCGCAGGTCAAAAGAAGTGTAATCGATGACACAAGGAGTTCACAGAAAAGAGAAATAACTGAAGTAGCAAAGAAAGGCTTGAGTTTAGCACTAACAAAAAGTGGGCAACACAGTAATTGTCAATGATAAGATAAAACGAATGAAGGATAGAATCTGGACAGATGAATGGAAAGGACTGAACAGTGACCTTAGAAGAGGGGTATGGAAAACTGTTAACATTAGTAAGTAAGGTATGTTCAAGAGGAGACTGAGTAGGTAGAAGGGCCATTTTTGTGAGGCTATAATGCACATTTTTAAATCACTTATTGCAGATAGTGGGGAGCTACTACAGACCTATTAGCACTGAGTAATGTGATGAGAATGGCATTAAAAAAGATTAATTTGGCTGTCCTCTTAGCATGGAACAAAAAGTATACAAAGTGTAAAAGTAAGAGGCAATTACAATATGTAGAGCTAAGATGATGAAGGCCTGAACTAGGGTGGTTATGATACCTACAAAAAAGAATAAATATATACACCAGACATTCTAAGATATTAAAAAGATGAATCAAAACTTGGAAACTAATTTAAATATGAGTAGGGAAAAAGTGAGAAGGATGGAAGATTCACTCAATTATTTAACAAGTACCTATAGAATCCTTTCTACATGTCGGAAAAATATGCTAGATAATTATAAAATCACTAATGAAGGAGAAAGGTAATGCTGGTGACAAGAAGGGAAAAGCTGACAATTTGACTAGGGTTAAAGGTAGGAAATAATATGGGATTTTACCATGGTGTTGTGGACATAAAAAAAAGTTATCTGATTAGAGATGTCTGATAACCAAGCTACATAATACTAAAGAAATCACTATTTATATAATTAAAACATAGGACTAAGTCATCTATAGCACTGTTATTCAATGTGGCCCATGGACCAGTAGCATTTATATTACCTGAGAGCTTGTAAGAAATATAAAGCTGCAGGCTCCACTAAATCAGAATCTACTTAATAAAATTCCCAAGTAATTCATATGCATGTTAATATTTGAGAAACATTGACCTAGCGGATAAGCTTCCAGATCTAGGAATCTAGGATTCCTTTCTAGTTTAAAAATTGTGAGACTTTTGGATGGCAGCATGAGGAGCTCCACAGACCCATTCCCTAGTGAAATAAGCAAAGCTGGTGAAAACTGTTAAAAACCTACCATTTAAACTCTTTGGAAACTGTCCTAAGGGCATACAGCAAATGTAGAAACATTTATTCAAGAAAATCTACTAAAAGACAGTAAGGACACTGTGAGTCTATGACATTTGATCCACCACCTGCTCCATAGCCCCTGCTCAGCCAGTTCAATTTGACAGAAGCTCCCCTCTGGGTGGGTGTGGCCAGGAGGAAGAGGCTCCTCTTCCTTCAGCTCCCAATCAAGGGTTACGATATCTCACACCAGCAGGATGAGGCCACCATCATTTCTCATCCCCTCCAACTCCAAGGTGAAGAGGTTAATTCTCTAGTGAGTGTAGCTGACAGGTTGGGGGCTCCCTTCCTCCACCCAGCTGCCACTCACAGGATAGAGGCCCTACTGCAGGAACTGCAGGCCGAGAATATTGGGGTCCCAGTCATCCTCACCCCTGATCACCTGTAGAGGAGAGATTCCACGCCAGGAGAGACAAGCTGAGAAGATCAGAGGCTAGCACGGTTGTCAGCATTAAAAGAAATAGCTCAGAGATTTTGCCTGGGGGAGAGGCAGTTCAAAAGAAAAGAAAGCCATGAGGCTCTCTCCAAAGGAACTGACTATTTGAAATAGTCTAGAAGATAACAGTTTCTCTTAATTAAAGCCCTGTCTATATTAATTCCAAAGTCTATGCTTACTCCATAATATTACACTGCCATTAATAAAGAAATTAAATGAAGTGCTCACAGTATGGTATTATCAATTAACTACCTTCTCTTTGCTTAACTCATTAAATCTCAGATGGTGAAAATACCTAACTCCCAGGGATGTTGTGAGACCTAGACTGGGCAATGTATATAAGCAACCAAACACATCACCTAGGAAATAGTAGACAGTTAACGTAAGCAGATCCCATATTCCATTTCCCTAAAAAAACTGAATGAAGAAAGCACAAGGAACATACCTGTCTGGCATTCTTTGTTTTGAGTGTGTGGTTTGCAAGAGGTGGCTTTAGTCTGCGTGATGGGTTTGCACAATAAAGCTTTATTCTTCAAAAGTCTTGGAGGCTGGGAAGGCGGAAGTTTCAGAGCATCTGTTTGTGTACTTGCCTAGTAAAGAAAAACAAAGAGGTTTTTAAAGCTTATCATTAATTACAAGAAGTATTATAATTTCACAAGAAATACTATATTGGAATTACATGCAAGACATAGAACATATTCAACTACATATGTAAGAAATACAATTTTCCCGACATGTCAATAGCAATAAAGGACTACTGTGATAACTATATATTGACTCTGAATCTATCTAATTACCAGTTCTGTTTACCAAGAAAAATGCTATTTCTATTGTAAGACACTGTTGGTCAATAACAATGTTGGCTGAGTTTAAAATGAGAACCGTAACTTCTCTACTGAGTTAGGTCTTAGAAGACTTAGTTTCAAGAAACTAGAAATAACTGAATCACTTAGGATCATTTAAGTAATTTGAAAAAACATGATGTGAAAGTTATTCTAGAGACCAGAAAACACTTTAGAAATGCCACTGTCCTAGTTATTAGTTTTTCTCATTATTTATTTTCTTCTTCTTTTAAGGGACAAAAGCAAAAAATACTGAGTAAAAACAAAAAGGAACGCTTATTCACAGCATAATCTGCATTGGGTGGGAAATAAACTACATTTTATAAATACGTTATTTATATGTTACAATCTGACTACATTACAAAATGCCCCAAAAACCTTTTATACCTGAATTCTGTACAATTTTTAAAAACCAACAACAACCTTCAGTAACTACATAGAGAGAGCAAGCACTCAGAAAAATGAAAGTACCTATAAGACTTACCTAAAAAAACAGAAAACCCTGTTCCTGAACAAAGATTAAATGAGCTCATGAAATTTATTTTATACAATAAAGAATAAAGGAGGGCAAATTAGCTTAGACATATTCATACTGCATAAAAATGGAAAATAAATACAGTGGCAATACCAATAAAAATAATAAAACTTACATCCCCAATGATTTTCGCTGTTACTGTTGGAACTGCACCTGATACAAATTAAAATATATATTTAGGATCTTACACAATTATTTAAACATTAGCATTAAAAGCTGATTATTGGACAATAAACACAAAGTCTTATAATAAAAACATGTATTATCTTAATTTAATTCACAGGAAGACTAGCATCTAAAGTATAACATGAGAAAAAGAGATCTGGAATTTATGAAAACACAGGTTAATGCCCCAGCAGCCCACAGTGAGCCACCACTCTGAATATGAACGTGTCAAACATGTAAAAATGATCACTGATGAAAAAAAGACAGAGAACCACTGTATTTAACCTCAAATGGCTAGATAAATGCTTTCAAATCAAGCCATACCTTGTAAGACACTGTTAGAATTCACTGTGGGCTGAGCAGCAGGAGCACTTGCTAATGATACTACATTAGCTATAACTGGAGTAGAATCTTTTCTTAGAGATGGGGGCCCTGCTGAAGCAGCTGGCACCATGGAAATACTTGCTGATTAAAATAAAAATAAGAAAACCTCATGTGATTTATATGTACATATATAGAAAACATCTCAGGGAGGTTAAACAACACTTTCAGGTCAGAGTAAATTCTGTTGGAGCAGAGTCACTTCAATATTAACTAGGTTTTTTCCTATTTTTTAATTAGTGAAACTTAAAAGTATTTTATGTACTTTCTCTTGCGTAACCATGCATGTGGTATACTTAAAAATCCTTCTGATTTAGATTCTATGTCCTTTGTTATAGTTTCAAATCCTTTTTTAAGGAAGTCAATTACAAAACATTAACTGCTATTATTTCCCATAAAGTTCTTACAGAGTTTACTTGATTCAATATGCCCAGAGAAAACTGAACTCATGTTTACAGGGCCTTAATCTAGAGTGTTAAACAAAAAGAGACTTAAATGTTAATGTCATTTGAATAGAACAATACTTATGGTTCATGAAATTGACAACTGTTTAAAGTTCGCAGTCTGCAGAACAGTAGTTAGTACCTGGCACTGATCAAAGACTCAAGTTTAATTTTACCTGCATTGTTTTGTGAAGGTGGGTCACACATACTTTGCTGATTACAGAACATCAAGATACAAAGCAGGTTACAGAAATGTTTCATTTCTCCTCGCCATTTCAAGGACTCACTGAGTTTACCCTGTCGCTTACAACCATCACATTTGGCCATCTGAAAAAGAAACAGAAGACAGTAAAGGAGTAAGAAACAAATTATCTGTGGTCTGACAGAATAAAAGCAGGACACACATAACAAGTAAGGATATTAACTTAGAATTTGGATAACAAAAAATGAAGGCTAACACTCCTAAAATGGTAAATGCTTATTTATCTATCAATAATTTTATACAAATATCACAAAAAAGTCACATTATAGAGACACCAATAAATAGTAATTAAAAAACATAGTGAAATGAAAATAAGATCTATCTCCCTCAAAGACTTCAGAAGACAAATTCATTTTAGTTAAATAAATGCATAAAATTAAAATTTTAAATATTTTAATGTCTTAAAGCTGATATGTCTTCTATAAGGAAATCAAAAACAAAAGGAATACAACTTCAGAGATATTAAAATTTTCTTAAGTCATGTATTAATACCAGAGGAGAACATAATACATTTAATATTTGAAAGTTTAAAATCATTAAATTGCCCTTTATACTACATGAAAGAATTAAAGAAGGGAATAGTGTACACCCTAACTTGAAAAACCCAGGATTGTGAATTATATTTACCTGATAGAACAGAACTGTATACTTTGACATGCATTCTTCACAACAGAACTCTTCCACCTTCCCCCCCAAATTATTCTGTACCAATTTGGGAGATGTCTGTAAACAATAACTGCACATTTTACAATGATTTCCCCAGCGTTTTGCCAAGTCATGTTTATAAAGCAATTTGCAACCTAAAAACATCAGGAAAGATAAGATTAACATCAGGGAAAAATATGAACTATCTACATCTTTAAATGCCCTATAACAAAGTTTTCACACTTGGGTCCTCACCAATTAGTAGATCAAGAGATCAATTTAGAGGATCAACACTACCATTTTCTTCTTTAAAACAAAATAATACAGGATAGAAAATATTACAGTGCATTAAATTTAGTAAAAGTCAGTTTTGTTTCATGAAACTTTTGTTTTATTCTAATACGTGATAATCTACTGGGTCACAATGTAAAACGTATTTCTTCTTTTGCATTGTGGTCAAAACTTTCAAAAGCCACTAGTTTAGGAGACTAATCTTGTACAGTTTAAGAATAAAACAAAACATTCTAAATATATAACATAGTTATATAAATAAAGAAGACAAGCTACCTTATATTAATTTGCATATTCAGATCATTTATATTCAGAACTGTAATGGCTGTATAAGACAATAATGAAAGTATAATCTTAGGATGCTACCAAAATTTAAAAATTCTCTTTAGAAATAAGTGCAAGAACTAAAAGATCCCTATCAAACTGATAACATTAAATGTTTTTCACATCATCACCATCTTCTGAAATACACTTTGAGGATCTTCTCCTTCATTTTAACATCTATATAATATGAAGGATTAGATCAGCAAAGAGTGAACCAAGTGTAAATGAAACAAAAAGGCTTTGGTGTTATACACAAAGGATAAAATAGATAAACTTACATAGTAACAGCTTAAATCATCAACTACTTTTAAAACAACTAACATGCTCAGTAGGTAAGATAATCTTCTGTCTTTACCTTCACTACAGAACGACTTGTCAGCACCTGAGAATCGCACAGTCTCCTTTACAATTTTCTCAATTTTACAATATTCACACATTGCCATTACATTATTTATTTTCTTATATTCATCAGAACAATTCTTGCCACAGAACTGAAACATTTTACCCTGCAAAGAAATGATCATTGAGTACTAATTAAACATTTGGTTTATCTTACGGAAATCCTTATCCTTCTTACTTCCAAAACAAATAGTGGAATTTTGAGAGATGAAAAGCCAGAAATAATATTACAGATAGACCAGTTTATACTCAAACTCTGTATCATGATCCTATACTTTACCTTATAGTCAAGAAGTTCTGGTTTTGTGGCAAAAAGACGGTTACAGTGCTGACACTTGAGTTTTACAACACTTCGTGCAAAGCCAACGTGCTGGGATTGGGCAGCAAGTCGCTGGAGCCCAGCTGCAGCAGAGCTACTGATGGAGGTGGGAGAAACAGCAGAGGAGTTACCTCCTCCTGCTGACACTGTTGAACCTGTGGGGATGCTTACAATTACTTGGCCCTGAGATAAGGGCACTACTGAAGAATTCATTCCTGCTGGTTTGTTGAACAAATTCTGAAAACAAACAAAAAGATCAATCTAATTATTTGTTCAAAGTAAGGACTGAGCACCTAAGTACGCCAAACACTTAAGACACATTTGTGAACAGGCAAAACTGCTGCCTTTGAGCAGCTTATAATTCAATGGGGGAAGTGTTATTTATATCCAAAAAAAAAAAATAATTTAACTAATAATCTTCTTTAAAAATAACACCCTCCCAATAGATAATCTAGGTAATAATCTAGGTAATAGTAGCACCATTTAATTTTACAGAAGGTAGTTAAGTGATATGCCTCCAAATACAGGAGGAGTTAAAGAATCCAAGTTTAATAGAACTGAGACAGAAATTTAACAATCTAGGCAGTAGCAAACACCTAATAAGTTTACATTACTATAGTAGGCAACTCACTGACTGGAGAAGAGGAAGATTCCTGAAGCCATACCTGGAAAGCTACCACACAACTGTAGCTGCAGAAGTTGCGTATACTTCCATCTGACATGGCTAGGTGATACTGAGGGATTGCTGAGGTTTTACAACTGTTACACTGAACTTGTACACCTTAGCAAATCAAAATAAAAACTAATGAGTAATATATACAAATGTGCATAAATATGAGAAAGTAAATAAGTATTATGCAATATATGAAAATTCAAGGGCCAGGTCAAGTTCCAGGAACTGAAACTAAACTCAATCACGTCACATATAGGCAAAAACTATCTTAACATTAACAATATTTCTTTTAATTTAAAGTAGTCACAGTCTAGCGTGAAACTACAAAATAAATAAACCTTGAAATAAGTCAGGTGTGGATAAAGAAAACATATTAAAGAAGCCATAAGGAATTCTTTTGGTAACAGGGAAATGCACAAATAGGAAGCAAGTAAATAAACATAAAATAAGCAAAGTAATAGGTGATATTTTACAAAACGGATCTGAAATGTTTTAAATTTGCCTTAAAAATCAACTAAATCTGAACAAAAATCTGTACTATAAAAACAAAGCAATAACCATAATTTTTTTCAACTTATATTTATGTAGTTTATGAAACCAGTATTACCTGCAGAAGTAACCATTTTAACTCTGTAAGCAGATAAGCAATTAACAGAACAGAAAAGCTCTGTCTTTCCCAAGCTATTGGTATTTTCAATCATTTCTGCTGAGGATCTCAATGATTTGCAAAGCGCACATGGTGTAATTTTGGCTGATTTCTATTAAGAAAATAAAATAACATTCATTTTTACCAAATTACAAGTAAAAGCATAATTCTTTGAAATGTTTATACTTAACACTGAAATATTTGAAATATTTTAAATTTGTGACTTTCAAACTTTTATGATTACAATCCTCAGTAAGAAATAAATTTTACAAAGTGACCCAGTACACACATAATTCTGAGGTTTTGTGTTTGTGTATTATACATGTATGTGTATAAAACTGAAAAAAGTTTCATAATACATATTATGATAACATGTGATGCACTTTGATATTTTCAATTCTATTCTATTTCATTAAAAAATGATGCTGGTCACAACCTAGCAATTAATTTTGGGATTTATTAATTGGTTGTAACTATAGTTTTAAAATACTATTTCAAAAAATTCCACAACAGGGAATTCATGCTTTTACAGTATCCTAAAAACTGGAAGAAGCTCCCCAAAAAAGGTGCTATATATAACAATAAAATGTGAACTCAAGGAAATTAATAAACTTATTAGAAAATCCCTTGTCAAATACTCTACAATAACAAAGCACACTGTAAGCAATAAAGTGGGAGCAAGCTCTGAATACCATAGGCATCCATATCTAAACAACCAAAGAGTCTGTTATCTTAAGTTCACACTCAATCAGGAATTCAGCAGCAAATAATGCTAAATACTATTAACATGTCATAGATTCAGGATAATTTATAAAGTATATCCAGCACCCATTAAGAGATTTTAAGATCTCTATTCCCTCTTCAAGGATAAATTGTTAGACTTGGTACTAAAACAGGTACATGCTAAAGTGAACACATTCCTGCATTTTGGAATGTCTTCTATATCTCCAAACCTATTTCTCCTTTCCTCATCCATCAAGACTGCAAACACAAACTTAATTTATAAGAATTAGGTCAAGAGTTATCTCTGTCAAGTTTTTGCTGACAGTTTCATCTTGCCCTATCATGTAGAACTGTGCCCCACTGTACCCCTTAATACTTCTACTACAGTATTTCTACTCAGTTATATGTCTATCTCCCCTAGGACACAGGTAGCCACTAGAAATAAGAATCATACATCTAATGTTTGTTGAATGAATTATACATGAGGAAGAAAAGAAAGTAGTAAAAATGACCATCTTCGATGGGCCAGGTTCTATACGAGGCGATTTCTCACTCTTCTTCATATAATCCTAAAAACAGCCCAGTGACATAGGCAGTATAATACCCATTTACAGATAAGAAAATGGACTCAGGGAGTTTGCTTTCCCCAATGTAAAATTCTATTTCAATAGAAAGTCTAGGAATCAAACCAATATCTATCTGCTTTATTTCTAAACCCAAATTCTTTCTCTATATCATAATACATATTAATACGTGAGAAATTTCATAGGTATTGGCCAAATTATAAATACATCTAAAATTAAGATATCTCAACCTATTTCTCCCTTTTGTGGAATATGAACCGTCTTTCAATGGACTCAACCCAAGTAACTTTTAGTACTTGATATAATGTCAGAAAAATAGTCTTTTGGATAAGGACAAAGCACATGAAAATACTGGGGTTTTTTTTCCTTATCAGAGCAAAAACATGGTGTTTCTAAAGGAAGGAATAAATAGTAAAGCTAAGCCCTTTTAACACGTTTGCATATTAACAAGAAATAAATGGAAACACTGTATAATGTTTAAAATCCCAAATTCATTGCAAAGTTTTAAGAACAATGTTTTTAAAATTTCCCAATTAACATTATTAAATTCACCAATTTTGCTAGACTGTATAAAAATTCACTATCCTAACATAAAGAATGATCAGCAAATGCACTAAACAGGACGGCATTGTAAAATTAAAAACGTAAAAAGTTCTTAATATTCCTTTGGGTTTATCAACTTTAAAATCTAATTTTTGATTAAAATTTACTAACAAAATTATAAACCTAGTACAAAAGTATAGAAGATATTTGTCACACAGAATTCAACTAATTCATCCTCTATAAATCTCACCAATTCACAAAATAACATATAACCCACATTTATTTTTTCTTATTTCATGAAGAAAAGAAAAAAACCTGTTAAGCAATTAGTGGTAAGATTTTTATTTTCTGAATTGCCATTTCAACCATATGGATCTGATTTCAAGAATACATACGCAACTTGGACCTTACCTTATCAAATAAAAAAGTATATATAGGCAAACCAAAATATATTTCAAAGATTAGAAGGCTATACACCAAAAGGATGGGATTGGGTATCTCTGGGAGATGCATTATTTTTCTTCTTTGTGCTTTTCTGTATTTTCAAAAACATGACTCATATTTGAAATAAAAAAGCCATACCCTAAAAACACATATTGCAAATGCATGAATAGAAATATACATTACTTACAAACCTCTCTAAGAGTTTTTTAATACGCATTTGACAAATACTATTTATATGTAAAAAATATTAAGCTAATAATAAGATCTTAATATTTTTGTGACATTTTCATAAATAATTTCTACCAAAAGTTTAGATCCTCCTGAAATGAACAAAGATATCAGGATTAAATATGGTCATGTACCTGCTTATATGCTGTGACACACGTTGAACTACAAAACTTCTTAGACTGTCCCTCTATCTGAAGCATGTGGCATTGTCCAGAGCCACTATAACAGTAACCCCCACAATTCTCACAACAGTTCATGGTGAGGTTGTTAGCAGAGCGAAACTTAGAGAAGCAGGCATCACTGCAAAGTTTATGTACCACATTCTGGTAATTAACTTCATGCCGAATCTAGAATTAAAAATAACAACATACAAAACAAGCAGAGATTATCAAAAGCTGTTCTTTAAGTACAAACATTAGACCCCTCCTCCCAATAAAGCAAAAAGATAACTTACAACAGCATTCTTCTGACACATGCTGCATTTGGTTGAAATGCTATTCGTATTTATGGTAACAACAGGTTTTCTTTTCAGTTCATACGTCGACAAACATGACTGACTGCAAAAATCTTTACTTGTGGTGGTATTTTCAAACTGGGCACTGATCACATCCTTTGGATTTAAAATGTCTCTAAAGATGATAACAAAGATAAAATAAGCCATGGTATATTCATTTTTTTCCTTTTCATGAGCTAAAATAATCAAATAAAACAGAGGCAATTGCATAGTAGGGAAAGGGCATTGATACTTAAGTCAGAAAACCCGGGTTTTCTTGGATAGTTGATAAACTGCTTTGATCCTTAAGTTCTGCTCTATAAAATGAACTAATACATGATTTACTTCATAAAACTGTTCTGAGAATTGGTATATTTCAATATTAAAAAGAAATATATCAAATTGTTATTATTCATTATCTCTAGTAGTTGGAATTATAGGAGATTTAATTTTCTTCTTTAGGCTCTTCTGTCTTTTCAAAATATTCTTTAAAAACACTATACTCAAAAATTTTAAAAACCACAGTCTTTTAAAAGTAAAAATACATTTCAAACTACACAATGTATATTCTAGCATGGCTATATAAAATCGAACATTTACCTAACTAATTTACTTTGTAAGCCTTAGTAGCAAAGGCAGTGAAGATTAAAACTCTTATGATTAAGGCTCCCTACCACTCCACGCCTTATCCCACCCCCAAATCAGTCTTCTTATATAGCCATTTATCAGAAAGTTTATGTGTAAACCACTTTAAAAATCAATTTTTAAAAATACCTCAATGAAAATTCCTAAACAGTGTCTCTCTCCCATGGGTACGCACTCACATAATAGTAAATAAACTGTGTTATATTCATTCCTGCATCTTAACCAGATTATACCACTAGAGTACTTTTTAGAAACAATTACAAATATCTCCGCTTCAATAAAAGATAATGGGAATCATCCCAAGGAACACTTGATATTGTACTATGCTGTAATACATAACTCCTTACCTCATCTTTTATACTTAGTAGCTGCAGACTGCTCTACTTTCTGCATTTTTTTTGCCTTTACAGTTTTTTTTTTAGGTTTTAATGTATTTCATTTATATAGGTATTTATTGAACAGTCATATTGAGCCAGGCACTAGCTAAACCCTGTGTCAAGGCACAGTACAAACATGCACTCAAGGAGCTCACAGTATGTTGGGACAAATAGAAAAATGATATATAAAGTACCGTAACAGAAGCATTCTTAAAATATAAAAGTATAATAATTTTGACATAGATATGTATAATGTACCATAGAAAGAGAAATGAAGAAACAATTAACTGAGACAATACGTGACATGAAAGGCTACCCAAAAGAAGGTGACACTTTAGCTGGACCTTAAGTAGGAGTTTTCTAGAAGGTTAAGGAGATAAGGGATGGGCAGCAGCATGGATCAAGGCAACGGAAGTATAAACGTAGGTATTTCTCACTGTTCTCAGTATGTTTAGTGTCCAATTACATCTTATTGTAGTAGATTATATTTTATGCCAGAATGAGGAGTAATCTCACTCCAGATAGTAAAAATTCAGAAATGGTACAGACAATTCTTAAACAGTTACATCTTTGAGTGCCATTACATCAAGAAATCTGATCTTTCTAACAGTATTAACAAATTACCCTCCAAATTACCTCTTTTATGTAGGATTTGAAATAGATTTTTAAAAACATATTGTTAGATCCCTATTACTAAGGAAACCTAAAAATTAAACAATGATTAGTCAAAATAAATTAAGAGTTTAGATTAAATTCAAGATGCTAAGAGATATGGTTAATAAAAGATTAAGAAAAACAGAACTGTTACTCTGAACAGCTAATGAGATTCTTTCAACCTAAGCAATCCTGCTATATTTCTACTGGTCTATAAAAATAGCAGTAGCTGTTTGGAAAAAAACCTTTTCTATCTCCATCTACTAAAATTAAATTGAAATTTTTCTTATAGGGATTGACTTACAAATTAAACCTGTTTGACTACATGGACTATCTGGGGGTGAAAAGATGCATGTGCCAAAATTAACCAGCTATGTGATACTGAGGAAATCTCTTAACTTCTTTGAATCTAATTTCCCTACAAATTCAACAATTTTATAATCAGATAAACGAGACTATCCCAAACTCTTGTAATGACTGTGTAAGTAAGGAAAAAAAAAGGAAGGAAAGGTAAAACAGTGAAAGGGAGATGAAAGAGTAGTTCAAAAACTGAAATGGAGCACAAGGAAAACAAGACTGATCAATGAGAGAAAAAGGTATTGGATAAAATGAGAAAAGGGGAAAAGTAAGACAGAAAATGAAGAAGAAAAAGCTGAGGCAATAGGCAAGTAAGCAGCACCTGAGAGAAGGACAGAAAGGGGTGAATGGAAAAGAACAAGGGATAAGATAAGGGTAACAGAGTAAGTGAAAAAAGAGGTAGAAGAGTTAAGAGTCAAGGAATGACAGGTTGAAAAAATGGAAAATTTATGAAGACAAAGCATAGTAAAAGAAGAAAATGTAATCTTAAAGAATAATTGAATTACATACAATCAAGACAGAGAAAAGATCTGACACACAGGTGAAAATGATCTATCTCCAGACAACGCTAGGCAAACTCTAGAGACCAAAGGCATATAATAAATTTAGATGAAAAGAACAACATGTATGGACAAGAATTTAAAAACACAGAAAGAGGGCACACATCTTAAAACTTCTTTGAGTTTTGTACAGTCATTTTGAAATCTACTGATAAATCTTTGAAAGAAGTCTCTATGACTATTATTATGAAAGGAGAAATACCACTGAAATTTTAGAAAGTGCTGATCCCTAAAGTAAGAATTAAATAAAGAAGAAAAATAAGTTATGTGAAATTATTTCATGGAGAAAGAGGAAACAAAACAATCCCTATAAAAATTATAATCTGCAAGTTGATTTAATCATAGAATCTGATGAATATACTAGAATATAAAAATTAGACACGTGGCATATAAGTATTCAATTCTTTTTTTTTGGGTAAAGATTGGCACCTGAGCTAACAACAGTTGCCAATCTTTTTTTTTTCTGCTTTTTCTCCCCAAGTCCCTCCAGTACATAGTTGTATATTTTAGTTGTGCATCCTTCTAGTTGTGGCATGTGGGACACCGCCTCAGCTTGGGCTGCCGAGCAGTGCCATGTCCATGCCCAGGATCTGAACCAGTGAAACTCTGGGCCAGCAAAGCAGAGCACGCGAACTTAACCACTCGGCCACAGGGCCGGCCCCTAAATACTCATTTTTAAAAGCATGTTTCATAATTCAAACAGTATAAAGAAGTCTATTTTTGATAAATTAAACTTGAAACATAAAGAGATGTGCATATAAATAACTAAATTCCAAAAAAAACTTCTAACTATATTCAAATTTCTTTTAAGTCTCTTATCTATATGCCTTTTTCCAGTAGAACCAGAAAGGGGAGTATCTTTCTCCCTTGTCAGACAAAAAGGGCAGCATCCATGTGAAGAGCTAAACACAAATACCTAAACTAATAAATCATGGTTTGAGCAGCTTAACAATAGAGGCCAAAGTGTTTCAGAACAAAAGCATTATTCATCTTTTTCTGACTTAAACAGTTTCTAACAATCACTTTATAAAATTAGCCAAAATTAGTTCATATTCCTCAAATATATCAGGATGACCTTATTATCAATTCTGTAATCCTTGTATTGATGAGTCTAAGGTCATACTTTTTTATTAAACACTAAAATGGAACCTCTGAGGTAGATCAGAGATATTGGAAAGATAAAAATATATATACTAGAGTCCATTTAAAGTTAAGGTATTAAATGAATTCCAATTACGTAACAGGAAACATAACTTTAGATATCTGTTGGATTTAAGTATCTACTACCTACAGTTACAAGATAAAATATTGTGGTCTTATAATCCCCCAAATGGTGTAGTTCTTGTTTTATAAAGCATTTCAACTAACAGGCATGGTTGGTTTCAAAAACCTCTCTTAATATGTAAAAGATTAATAAGTTAAAAGAAGCTGAGCACCTGGCATCGAGAAAGACTGAAAGCAGCAACAACATGTTGGTATAAATAATGTGATATTTCTCAAAAAACATGGAAATATAGAAAATTAAACAATACACTGATAAGAACAAAGCATCTTAAAAGAAAGGAAACCAACAAAGAAGATAATTTAGAAGCAATTCTGCTATACTTTGAGCAACTTGAACAAGTTTTCTTGGTGGGAGGAGGCGGTGGGCGGGCAGGTGGAACCGTGTATCCAGTGAGGCACAGTGTGGAGCAGAAGAGCTGAGTGGACCCTTTCCTCTGATAAGCAGTTTGCCCCTTCTGGAGGATTTTTTTACAACCAGAACAGGAAACTCGAACAGCTGTGGCTGGAACTGAAGGAAGCATTTTATTCATGCCAGATGATGCCAGTGAAGGCTGAAAGCCAGTAGTCAACTGTGGAGCTTAAAAAAAAATTGAAAGAAAAAACGTTTTACTTTTTACCATGAATTTTAAGTGTGCATCCTTCCTTTCTCTTCTAGAACTAGTCTTGACACTCAACACTAATTATGCAATATACAATTACAGCCATTCTAAATGGGCAGAGAGAACTGTCTACTTTACTAATACAAATAGATATTTCCTTCTCACTCATACTGGTCAGAATAAATAAACATGATTCATTTATTCAGTTCTTTTTCTTACCAAGAGGACTGCCACTGACTGAAAACACAGCACTAATTTTCAGTTCCCCCTCTTGAGTTTTTTGCTGTTGGCCATGACTATACTCCTTTAAAAAAGAAAATAAATACATACAGAGAAGAATAAATACAATGTTATCTTAAAAAACCCAGACATTCAAGACATTTTACTATGGCTATATAGGTGTGGAAAATATTTACTACATTAACACTAATAAGAAATAACAGCAAGCAGTCATTGCAATAAGGGTATCTTTGTATACGCTGAGTAAGAGGCATAACATGAAAGTTAGCTATCTAATTAGCTTGCAGCACTACCAGATATCTACAATTATTTTTGAAAAGTCTTAATATTATTACAGTAGTTTAAGTTGCTATTTATCTATTATAAAAGTAATACACACTCACTATATAAAATTTAGACAAGTAGAAATAAGAAAAAAATTGTAATCATATTTCCATAACCCCAAAACAACCACTGTTATTCTTTCGGTAATCTTTCCAGTCTTTTCCCCTCCTGTATTCACAGGTTTTCTTTCTTTATATAGCTGTAATTATACTGAACATACCATTCTTATAAAATGATTTTTTGATCACTTGAATCAATTGAACATTTGAATATGATTACATATTACTCCAAAATAACTTCTAGTGGCTAAATATCAGTGTTTTGTAAGTTGGAGTCCAAGAATCCCTGATGTCTACTGATGTACTGTAGGGAGCCTGAGAATTCTAAAAGAATATAAACTTCCTTTATTTCACTGATTTTTTTTTAGTGAATGTAAACATATTCTAGTCATGAATAACCACACATAACTGAGTTATACTACAAGTTTTCAGCGCTGTTTGCTTTTACAATTATATTACTGCATTGTGAAACCCCTAAGTAGTAGATTTAACTTTCAATTTATTGTTTACCACACTGAAACTTATAAAACGCTGTAAGACCTCTAGACCTCTTATTAAGGCACCAAAAATCTCAGCAATCAAGATAAATAATTTAATGCCATTTTTAAAAATCAAAAATGCAAAACTCCATGATGAACAAAATACCAAAACTTTAAATGACTAAAAACAGGATCAGTATTACTGATTTTTCCTTTGGCCTCAGTCCCCAATTTGATGGCCACAAAGGGCATTAAGATTTAGAACCACAACCCAATGTTGGTCCATTTGTTTCCACACATTTGGTATTATCAGTAATACCATGATGAACGTCTTTGTGAATACTCATACTCTTATATTTGGGATTATCTCCTAAGGAAAAGATCCATAAAGTAGCATTACTGGGTAAAAAGGTACATAGTAAAGATTCTTAACACTCAACTACAAATTGTTTTAAAAAAGAGATCTTAGTTATATTTATTCTAGCAATTTGTGAAAAAAACCATTTAAAAGTCTTTTCCCATTATTGTTTCATTTTGAAATTTTTTTAATCTCCATTTACAAAAAAGGAATATAATGTAACAATATTAACCCTTTGTTATCAACATTTCCTCAATACGTACTTTGAGTTAAAATTTTCATGTACTGAAGTTTCCATGTTTATGCCAAAAATCTGACAGTTTTTACCTTTGGGATTCCTTCTATTTCTTACAAAGTTCTACTTCCACAACAAATACTAAGAAAGTGGCTTCACTGTTTATAATACAGTCCTTTAACTGGTTGGCAAACTTTATCTGCAAAGGGTTAGGTACGAAATATTTCCTACTCTGCAAGGCCATACTATCAAAATCACTCAACTCTGCCCTGGTAGAGCAAAAGTACCCACAGAGAATATGGAAATAAATGAAGATGGCAATGACTCAATAAAACTTTATTTACAAAAACAGTGTTCAGAAAAACAAAAACAAAACAGAAAAAGAGGGCAGGCTGAATTTGGTGTGCTGCTGCTAATTTGCCAACCCCTGCTTTAATCTATCTGGGATTGATTTATTTTGATGTATGATGAGTATTTTTCTTTTTCTTTCTCCGAATAGCTGGTGAATTCCTTCCATTCACCATTAACATATCAAATTCCTTAAAAAATGTCTCTTTTGTAGCAATCTATTGTGTATCATTATCAGCCTGACTAATCTTATGGTATCACATTATCCTAATGAAAATAATTGTGGGATGTTTAACCATTTAATAGAGTTTGCCACTGTCAACCTCTCTTAACTACTTTTTAGAACATATGTGTAACATCTGCGTGTTTGCATGCCTATTCATGCTTCTTCAAAACATCAGAACCTATTGATATTTTCATCAGAATTGAATCAAAACTATATCTTAATTTAGGAATAACTGATATCTTACACATTTTTTAAAAAGTCTTTCCATTCACTGAAGTTGTCTTTTATCTGATATACATACTTTTTAGTTACTTTGGTGTTGGGAATAGTACATCTTTTCATCACATTATCTAACTGGGAAACAACTGATTTACAGAAATAGTTCTATCTTTTAGATAAATAAAATCCAACTAGCTACTCCACTAAACTTTTCATGAATTCTATTAATTCTCTAACAAAAATTCTTACCAGCAAATGATGATAATTTTGTCTCCCCTTTTCCAATATCTCTTCTAATTTCTTTAACATGTATTGGGTTGAAAATCCAACAAGAGTTAAATAAGGCTGACATCAGTAATTTGTGTTCTTTTAGTAATTATTAACAGGTTTCCATCACATTTTACTTTTAAATTCAATGATTGTTATTGATCTGAAGCAGATATTTCCTTACCATGATCAAGAGAGTATCTATTATAAGAAATGCATAATGAATTACATGAGACGTCTTTTGGTATCTGTAGCATTATCTATATAGCCTGACTGGCATACTTTAATGGTCTCCAGTCAGCTCTCTTTCTTTCTGTGACAGTGATTCCAAACTTCTGATACATTCCTGAAGCCTTAAGTACATATTACTTATGTAATATAGTAAACTAAAGTATACATCTTAAGTACTCTGCTTATACACTCCACAACACCTTCAAGGCAGAATTATGTTTATGTTAGTATTCCCCCCAACAATGACTAATTTTACAAATATTTAAAAACAAATAAATAACTTGAAAAGTGAAACTCTGATGACCCAAAAGCTTTCACAAGTGGAAAAACAGGTGTCAAAAGAAAACAAAAAAATCCTTTACCAACACCTTTATTTTCTCTTTGTTTACTATAAAGGAAGGTCCATATCAGTATCCCAAGACAGTATTTTAAAAATGAAGAATCCAGTTCCTATAGCCAAGTTAACTGACACGGCCCAAAAAAAGCCCCAACATTCAATTACTGCATTCTACTTTCCAAGGCTGTACTGACTCCCTATTGTGACAATTAATTAATTTGCCTTCCCATCCTAATCCATTTACTTAAATGAGCGATTACAGATTAGCTCCCCTTTTATTATGAGAAAAAACAAAAGAAAAAACTCATGATTCACTAATATTTACTGAATTTCCAGCTTTTAGAACCTACAGAGAAAAGGAGAAAAGGAAAAACAACGTCTCTGGCTCTTTAAAGTTTCTATTTTAAAACCTTCTCTAGGCATTTTTAAAAATTAAACATCTTTTATTTATAAAAAGATTGGTAGACTAATAATAATAAGACCTTGATCATGGCCCCAGATTGGCTCCTTCCTGACCATATGGTCTTGAGTAACTAACTTAACCTCTGTGAACTTCAGTTCCCTCATCTACAAACAGATTTAATATCATCTACTCTGGCCTTCTTATATAGGAAGATGAAACAATATAGTACATGTAAAAGCATCTGAAATTGTAAAAATACTACAGAAAATATTATAGTAACATGCAATAGGATTTGAAAGGAGAAGTGAAACTGGGAGGCCAAATGATGTTATGGTAGTAACAGAGGCAGGAGGATGACAACTGGCAAACCCAGAAAATCAAACCTGAAGAAATAACCTAGAGCAAACGGGTAGAAGTAGTTAAATATATATATGCATATTTCAACACCTTAGTCATTTACATGGGAAAGTAAAGAAATTAAGACCAAAATGAATTGTGTAAAAAGGAGAATTAGGAAGTGAGCTGAAAGCAAATCTACAAGTTATGCAAAGAGAAAAGCCATGGGAGTTTTGAGAAGGTGCAATGAGCTAAAGCTATGATCTTCTTAAACCATGAGAAAAGTTACTACTAGTAATTGATGGTCAAAAGTAAAGGCTGGCGAAAAATGTTAAATCTAGCAGTATTTTATGAGAGTTAGGTTAACGCTACTGTTTTAGAAACTATGAAAATAAAAGGCTGGAACTCCCTTTTCCAGTCTATGGGAAATGAGTAAGAGAGATAAAGCACAGTATTGAACAGCAAGGAATACAGACTTCTAGTTGTCATAGGGGAGAAATATCTAAAAGAACAGGACAAGGAAGAAGGGAGAAGAGGAGGGAAAAGGGGAGGGGAGGGAAGAGAAAGGGAAAATGAGAAAAAAGAAAAGAAAGAGTCAGGTATGTATAGTTTAAGATGAAGTTCCCTGAGGAATTTCTAGAAGAATTATCAAAGGTCTGATCCTACAGGATTGGTGTAGCTGATAACAGAGAGGACTTCTCAGAGAAAACCTAGTTTCACCTACTCACACGTTAGTACTGCCTTATTGTGGGATCAGGATAAAGAATGCTTCTAGACCTTATGCCCAGGACCTAATACACATTCCTGCTTGGTTCTCAAGAGTCCAATCAACCAGATGGTGAGTCTTTTGGGAAGTTCTTCTCCACAATCATGATGAAACTTCATATTTGGCATTTTATAACACAGTATTACACTTTGAATTGTATATAAAAATGTAGGTATTTCTATGCCCTGACAGTTCCATCCTATTGGCATTCTCCAGCCATCAGAACCTCTGATTGTTTTCAAAACAGTAATATAAATAACCCTTCCTAATGCTCTCTTCCCCCAGTGTGTTTCATCTTTGCTATAACTGCCTTTCCATCCTAGGGAAAGTGTCACTGGGTCATGTTCAGAGAGAAAGTGATGCCTTTGGTATCCTGCCAGCATTACGATTTCTCATGATTTCCCATGTCCACCCTGCAGCATGTAAAGGGACAGGAGATCTGCCCTGTATACAGACATGGTTGTAATCTTCTGAGGCATACACTGCCACGTGAACTTTTCCCAGGTGTCAGGACATTTCTTTATCCCTAATTCAGATATCAAGATCTCCATTTTGTCTCCTTCAATTAACATGCTTTCAAATCTACCATCTATTCAAATACTTTCCTATTACTTCTCTAACATATCCTTCTTTGTAGTCACCAATCTCATACCTAATCCAACTCCTACAGCTTTATCTTCTCTACCCTATACAGCTACCCTCCACTGGGCACCACGGAATTCTTGCTTAATTGAGCATCAATCTGACTCATACAAATCACCTACATCAATAAATCACCTTTTGTTCCATCTGCTTACTCTAAAACAGCGGTTCTCATGAGCAGATGATTTTGCACCCCGGGGGACATTTGGCAATATCTAGAGACTCTGGGTCGGGGCGGGGAGCAGGGTACAACTGGCATCTAGTAAGGAGAGGCCAAGGATGATGCTAAACATCCTACACTGCACAGGACAGCCCCTCACAATACAGAAGTATCTGATCCAAAATGTCAATACTGTCGAGGTTGATAAACCCTGCCCAGAGACATCTGAATGAAAAAAATCTCTTCCACAGAAGTCTCACATTCTCAACCCTCCTAATATGATAGAAAGATATGGAAAGGTAAGTTTTCTCTAGATCAAATGTCATTTCAGAGAAATAGCTAATTAATGCTATCTTTACTTCTCAGCCTCTGAATTCATGCTATCTGCATAAAACATAAATCACCCTTAAATAATTGCTACTGTTATGTATTCATCCTTTGTTCCCTTTCCTACACTCCAAAATGATTACAGCACCTGATATAACTTCTTTCTTCCATTCCAACCACTGCAATGTCATTAACTGCATGGATAACTTTACTGACTTCAGGACTTCACAGTGACAGGATGTCTATGACTTTTACCTCCAGAGAAACCTTGAAGTAGCAGAGCTCTATCCTTACCCTTATCACTCAAATTTGGAATGCTGTATCACCCATCAAAGCCTCCTTTACCTTCTACACACTAATCCAATGAACTAGTTCTTCAATCAGTTAACGCTTCCAAAGATAACCTGTCCATTAATCCCTCCTGAAAAACACTTCAATCCATATATAGCCTGTACTTCATTAGCAGTAACTGCAAAGGGCTTACTACCTTATATAAACTCAAGCACACTATAAACTCATACATCACCATAAACCTTCAGCCATGTCTGCTGGATCAATCTCAAATCCTTGAAGACTCACACTTTCCCTAACCCTGCACTGAAATTGTAAAAATCACAGAACAGTGGTATTAAGGAACAAAGTGGATTAAAAGCCTTAATTACTACTCAGGAAAAGTTTCATATAACTCTTGTTGATGCCTTAGCATTATTCTTACAAGATAATTTTAATTGCCTCAACCTTCATTTAGAGTCTCCTCATCCTGTCAACAAACTACTTCACTTCTTAATCAAGAACGTCCTCTCTCAAATGAATAATTCATGAGTGGAACAAAAAGAAGGGGGAAGAAAAGGTGAAATGTTTACTTGAGCATTGTCAGGTTCATCTTTAATTTTGTCTAGTAGTCCCTGCTGTGGTGCCATTGCTTTGTCATACTCATCATCCAAAGGTTCTTCTTTAATTCTAATATTTGATGCAAAGGAATTCCCCAGTTCCGAACCAATGGATTCTTTATTGGCAAATGGATAGCTGGAATCCTAAAACACAATATAAAGGATTAATAAATATTCAGATTTAAAAATTATTCCTCTTCAGGTTTAACACCCAAAGAAAAGCTCACTGGAAATGAAGAACTCTATGGACATTCATTAGAGGCCCTACGCCTAAAAGCAAATGTGATATATGTCTGAATATCAAATACAAATGAAGAATCTAAGAGCTGAGGGTTCTTAGAACATCTCCAAAGATGTCCTTAACCAAATAATAAAGCAAATAAAAATCAGCACTCCACCTAACACATACAGTTACAGTTTAGAAAATGACAGAAAGAAAACTTGGACACTTGCCACAGTTACAGCAATCTACATACACACTGAAAACTTACCCTAAAGTTTGTTTCTGGGGTTTGTGGTAAATGGGTATGTAATGTTTCTTCAACTTGATTAGCTATTGAAAGAAAAAAAAAAACAAAACAAACACATGTATATGAATAACAAATCTTATAAAGAGTGACCTAAAAAGCTATCATTTGATAATCACCTCTCTTTTCCAACAGCAATGTTCATTAGAGTGAAATGGGTCCTAAAAAATACCCAAATGGTAGTTTCACTCAAAAGAAACAATCTGGTCCCATCTAACTTTTAGCCTCACCTCACACTTTTCCTTGCTCAAGCCTAAATAAAGTGGTTACTTTATTCACTATGCTCTGAAAATTACTTGTATTTGTTCTTTCCCATTTCTGCTTACATCATTCCAAGTCCCCTCTATCTATCGTAATCTTTATGGTCTTCCAGACTCAGCTCAGTTCAAAATTCACCTCTCCTCTATAAGACTTTCCCTGTCCACTGAGTTAAAAATCTCTCTTCCAAGAAGATCCAAAACACACTGTTTCAGTTATTTGAAAGAAATCTTCTTATACTGTCTTATGACAAACTCTTCTACCATTGTCTTCAATTATAAATTAAGCCTTATGCTATTCAACTGGTCATCAACACTTCTACTACTTGACTTGTCCTTTCAACTTCTAAATGTTATGTCTCTTGAGGATAAGTACCTTTATAATTTATCCCCTGTAGGGATATTAAAAATATATATTTAATAATATATATTTAAAAATATAGTATACCCTTGTACATAATGGATCCTTATTCTTTTTAACAATACTGATTTGTTCTTTCTCCCATACTTTTCCTAGCATTGTCATAAGAAATATTAAGGGTTTGCATATTACACCCTGCTTTCCTTTACATCTACTGAACACTTATTGACATATTACTATTTTCACGGCACCAGGTTAGGCTTCAAAGATACAAAGACAAATAAGATACAATCTGGCCCTCAGATTACCTATCCTAGTAGGTAAGGCAAAACAAACAGAAAATTATAATACTGTGTGATAAGTACTATAAATAATGAGGTATGAACAAAGTGCTATGGAAATATAGATAAGGAAACAATTCATTCTTCATGTAGAGAGGTTAGGGATGACTACAGAGTAGAAGAGGTTTATGAGTTAGGCACTGGTGGATACGAAGTACTTTTATAGGCATATATACAAAGAGAGAAAATGACATGCAGGCAAATGGAACAGCAGGAGGAAAAGGAGGACAGAAATTAGAAAATATATAATATATTCCAGAATGAAACTGGAGCTAAAGTATAGGGTACACTGGTCAAAGAGCCTCAAGAGAAGCCTCAAGAAACTTCTAAAACATAAAATAGAAATGTTATCAAAATGAAAAACCCTCCCTAATTTGGACTAATTTGTGGGACAGCAGTTTGAATTAGTGCTTACAGCACAAAGAAGTTAATCCAACTTCAGGTTCCAATGTTCAACCAAAGAAAATGAACAGGTGATTCGAGTAGCTTGCCTTCTCATCAAAACATTTCAACCAGGGGAGGGAGAAATGAGGTTTAGAGCTATTTTTCAACCATTTATACCATTACCAAAAGTTACGGGGAGAAATTCAGTCACTCTGCAAAGAACAAGGATAAAAGAAAAATGACAAGCTTACAATGAATTTAACTGTTCATACTTCGCTTAGCATCAGAAGTAATAAAAACTGTATTATCAACAGTACGTTGTTATTTATTGTGTTTTATGGCTCTATTCCAACAATTATTACCTGCTTTATCAAAAAAACTGCTTTTCAACCTTGAATCCAACTCTTTATGGGGTTTATCCAACCGTTTTTCACGTTCATGATAAGTTAGGTCTCTATTTTTCTCCTTTCCAGAAAGTGTGTCTTTGCTGTTTTCTCTTACTAGACTAAAATCTTTCCGTATTGATTTAAAGACAGAGACCTGATCAAACTGTTTAGGAAAGTCTTTTTTTAATTTATTTTGAATCTGTATTTCATTTTCATTGTCTGATTCATGCTGTGTGACTCTTCTCTCTACTTCCAAGCTATCATCAGTATGAATTGAAGAAACCAGATTGTCCTTTGAACTAAAATCCTGTTCATCCTCATTGTCACTACCAACGACTGGAATTCCTGCAAGATCCCCAGAGTTCAAAAAATAATCATCTTCATCCAGCAATGAATTTTCAGATCCTGTTTGATTCGGCATTCCATAAGACATGCTGTCAAGGGTAGGAGTTAAGTTGTGGTCTATATCTTCAGACATTTCTGTATCCATGATACCACCACCTTAAAAAGTAAAATACTGTTTAGACAAACGATAGTGCTAAAGATGACCACATTAATAAGGCCTGTCTGGTATTTAACCAAATATATATTTTTTTCTTTTCAAACAAAATATAGATGATAATACTGTAGTATTCAATTAGCACTTTGATATAGGTGTGACAGATACGACTATCCCTATCTGACAGATGAGGAAACAGGGACCTAAAGCTTGAGAAACTATTTTGAAGGCTAGAAAGAAAGACAATGTGATATAGAAAAAATGAGTACCAACTTCAGAATCAGACATATCTGTGCTGGAATCATAGCTGGATCGCTGAAAATCTATGTGATCCTGAGAAGTAAACCTTCAGGTTTCTTTATCTACAAAACAGTATAATACTCACCTTAGAGATTAACTTGTGGTGAGGATTAATGATAGTACATATAAAGGGCCCACTAACACAGTGACTGTTACATAGAAGGGAATATAAAAGTGCTAATTATAATTATTGTAGTGATTATTCTGGGGAGCTGAGATTAGAACCCAGGTCTCTGGTCTGAATCCCAATTTCTCAGCACTAACTCTAATAAACACTTAATAGCAGTTGATGTTTACAACGGTAAATATTTAAACATAAAAAGAAAATTTATCCAAGCTGGAATAAATAAAAAACTGTTTACTGTTTGAAACTATATGCTCAAGTCTCTCCCATTCCAAAATAAAAGAAAAAGGCTCCCAGCCCTGTATTTTTTTCTCCTGCCCTCAATCACCTTTCCTTAACAGTGAAACTTCTAAAAAAGAGTGTACATTGGTATGTTTCTACTTCATCTCCCAATCGTTAATCCTTTGAACTTAATGCAGTCTCGTTCCCAATTTTGCATTGAAACTGCTCTCATTAAGATCATCAATGATCTCCTAATGGTCAAATCTAATGGATTTTTTCAATCCTCATGTGGCACATCCCTCTTGGATAAAATTCCTTGGGTTTCTCTGTCACTCTATTTCTTCCTGTCTTTCTAATCGGTCTATTAATTTATTTCATACTCCTCTTCCTCTGTTTATGTGCTCAATATTCCAGTTCTCTTCTCATTTTATACACTCAGACTATTTTATTCACCACCATGGCCTTGCCTTTTGCTGGTGACTTCCTAAATACTTTAGCTTACGTCTTTCTTCCAAGATTCAGATGTTTATTTATATTCAACTAGCTCTTATACGCCCTCTCCCCAGAGGGCCACCAACTTAGTACCTCTAAAACTAAACTCATCATGTTCCCATTCCAAGCATTCTCTTCTTGTATCTCCATCAGTTCTTTAACAGCATCACCAAGCCAGCAGTTTGCTCAAGACAGAAAAGAGAACCACTCTAATTCTTTCCCTGGACAAATTCTGTCAACTGTACTACTTAAAATCTTTCAAATCTATTTCCTCTACTTGGCAGCATTCCAACACTCCACATCTCTTACTGTTGATAGTGTACTAACTCAATCCATGCAGACATCTAGGAAGCAACTATATTCTTACAGACCCTACTCCCAAACCACATTTAACTGGTCCATGAGCAGACAAACTGGAACTCATAAAAACACAGAGTGAAAATCATTAGTGAAAATATCAGTGGCACCAACAGTCTTGTTTTCATTTGTTCCTGAAGCCTTCAGGTGGTTAGTTCTTCAAATCATTCCCTGGATTCCATGATCCAGGATAAATTCTTTTTTGTTTAAGTGACTTTGTTTTGGATTACTTGTAATCAAATCCTAACTGATACAGGGCCCAAATGAAAGCTTTCTTCAAGTTGCCCTCTTCCATAAAGACATCAGAATTACCTTTCTAAACCATAAATCATCTCATATTATACCATATTATACCCCCCCTTGAAGTCCTTCAGTAACTCCCCACTACCTGAAGCACTCATTCATTCAGCACATATTTATTGGGAAACCACTCTGTGGTTAAGCACTGTGCTAGGATCTAGGGATGAAATGAAAAAGCGATGACTCCCCCTACTCACAGAACTAAAAAAACCAAATAGAGGAAAACAATAATATTAGAAAATCACCATTTTTACTTAACTAAATAATAATCAACTCAAACAACAGATGCTAAAAATCTTAGGAACCTCTACAACTTACTTTCACATAGTATATCACAAAGAGAGAAGCAGGGGGAGATGAAAGAGCATGCACAATGTTATAGATATTAATTGTACTGTTCTTTCAATTGTCCCACTTATTTGAAAATTCTCATAATAATAGAAGGTTAGGGAGAAAATACAAATAAAGAAGCAGGATGTCAAAACACACACATACATACATTGTGATAAATCTGCCAAACTGTAAGCAACTAAAGGTCAGAGTTACAGACTTCTCTGTACAACAGTTTACCCTGAGTACCTGGCCACATAACATGTGCTCAGTAACTGTTTCCCAAATGGAAGAACATGCATTTCATGTGGTCAGCATTTAATCTAAATTCTATGGTATATGAGAAGTCAACACAGCCATGTGCTGCATAATGACATTTTGGTCAACAGACCACATATACAATAGGGGTTCCACAAGATTAGGTGTGTGCAAGTATACTCTATGATGTTCACACAACAATAAAATTTGGTCAACAACAGACCACATATACAATAGTAGGTCCCACAAGACTAGGTGTGTAGTAGGTTATACCATCTAAGTTTGTGAAAGTATATTCTACGATATTCACACAACAGTAAAACACGTTAACAATGTATTTCTCAGAACAAATCCCATTGTTAAGCAACACATGACTGTACTGAAAAGGAATATTGCAAACAACTGTCAAAATCTCTACATTTAAATTCAGAGTATGGTATTGGGAGGAAAGGGTAGCCACCTGGAAAAACTGGATCCCTAACTCACAGCAAAATAAAATTCAGATGTAGTTAATGTTTAGACATAAAAAATAAAACACTAATATTAAAAACCATGGAAGACTTACTTTTAAGTCTTAAAGTGGGGAAAAGTCTTTCTAAGGATGACACAAAATCCAGAATAAAAGACCAATTTATTGAATAAAAGAATAAAAGATCAAACGTGACTAAAAAATTCCTAAAGAGAAGAAAACACAAACCAAACCAAAAGATTAAGGATAAACTGCTTAAAAAGATTTTCCTGCATTCCATATAACAAAGGGTAATTTCCCTAATAAAAAAAGGGAAGACATCATCCAAGAAAGACACAAACAACCAAATACATATATAAAAGCAACAGATTTGAACAAATATTTCAGAGGAAAGGAAATACCAAGGTTGAACTTTGCTCATAAATGAAATGCAAATTAACAATGCAGTGAGATACCATGTTCACATAGCAGGTTGGTAATGACAAAAGGTTTTGATAACAGCCTGGCAGCTATGCTATGGGATGAGGCTGTAAGACTATGGCCCAAGGCCAAAAAGCATATAAGGAAGAGTTTGTGACATGGACCATAACTGAGCTGCAAACTCTAAGATATGGCCCTTAACAGAAAAAAAGTCTGCCACCCCTGTAATCAAATATTATTGGTCAGAATATAAACTGGCACAATCCTAATAAAGAGCAACCAGGCAACATTTATGATACATGAAATACACATACCTCTTGATCCAGCAATTCAAGTTCTAAGAATTTACCCTATAGATATAATCTCACAAGAGATCTATGAAAAATAACATTTATAGCAGCAAAGACTGGAAACAGCCTATCTCTTCATTAGTGAGGCTAGATTAATTACAGTACATACCTACAATGGAATATTACATAGTTGTTAAAAAGAATGAGGCAGCTTTATATTGAGTTCCCAAGGTCAATTAAGTAAAAATAACTAAGTGAGGAAGAATACACATACATATATTATGCTATCACTACTATATTTTTAAAACTTTATGTTTATGTACAGTTGTTTACATACAAAAAATATCTTCTCTGGGGCCGGCCCGGTGGCATAGTGGTTCAGTTAGAGCACTCTGCTTCAGTGGCCTGGGGATTGTGGGTTCAGATCCCAGGCACAGACCTACACAGTGATCATCAAGCTACACTGTGGCAGCATCCCACATACAAAAATAGAGGAAGATTTGCACAGATGTTAGCTTAGCGACAATCTTCCTCAAACAAAAAGAGGAAGACTGGCAACAGATGTTAGCTCAAGGACAAACCTCATCACAAAAAAAACAAAACACTTTCATTGAATTTCCTATGACAATCAGAACTGGAAAACAGAAACAGTGACTATTCAAAGCATCCCCTTTTGTATCTTTGAGTTTTGAAGCACATTCATCTATCAATTCATCTATCAAGTGAGAAAAATTTTTTTATGCTTACTTGAGATTTAAAGTTTTTTCAGAGACAGCAATTTCTAACAAAGCATCTAATTTGAATTTGCAATTTTGCTAGTCATCGCACAATAAATTTGTAGGCTGCATAAAATCTTATAAGGCTAAAATGTAACTACCAGTTATATTTATATATATAATTCACTGAAAGAGAATTCTATTTATCCTCATGACGTATAATCAAACAAAAGAAAGAGCTTCTGTTTCTCAGAGCCTAGATCTACAGAACAAAACATGACACACTATATTTGGGAATCACAGTAGCCAGTGGAACACCTAAAAGCACAAATTTCTCATGAAAGATTCCTAGCTTTTAGACACTGTGAACATGTGTGGCGTATCTGAGGATGAGCAAGGACTCTACGGCTGGAATTCAATGAGGGAGGGGTGCTAAAAAATGAGAAAAGATAAAAAAGCCAGAGGATAGGTCTATTAGGAATTTGCAGACCATAAAAAAAAATGCAATACATGTAAGTGTGAAAGGAAGTCATTAAAAGATCCTTACAAGGGACTAACACGATTTATGTTTTACAAGGATCACCCTAGCTTGTGTATGACCACTTCCAGGCTGTTAAATGCCACAGGGAGTGAAGAACAGAAGCAGGAAGACCAGTCAGGAGGCTACTCCAATAATCAAAGGAAAAACTGGTGGCTAAGACCAGGATAGTAATGATCGATGTGAGGAGAAGTCGTCAGATTTGGGTAAATTTTGAAAGTAGAAGCATTTCCTGATATATAAGAAGCTGGCTATGAAAGAAGTCAAGGATAACACAACAGAGTGCCACTTCCTGAGATGGGAACACTAAGGGAGGAACAAACTGAAAGAGGTAAGATGAATAACTTGGTCTTGGACCTATCAACTTTGAGAATATTATTAAATCTTCAAAAAGAGATATCAAGAAGGCAACTGGCTATATTAAAGAGGAGTTAAAAGAGGAGACTTTTGCCAAAAAATGACATATTGGGACTCATCAATGAAGAGATGGTACTTAAAATTCATGGGACTAGATAAGATCACCTAGTGAGTTTATTTAATACAGACTGAACAGAGTTGAGAGTCCTGGGATACTTCAACATTTAGAAATCTGGTATGAAGGAAGGAATCAGGAAAAGAGACTAAGATGGAACAGCCAGTGAGGTAGGAGGAAAACTAGGTGACTGATGTCACAGAAGCTAAGTGAAGGAAATATTTCAATAAGGAAGGAGTGACCAATGATAATGAATACTGCTGAGATAATAACATAAAACGAAGATCGAAAATTAATTGTTAATATTGGCAAATGTGAAGTGAACTTCTAACTTGACAAGAGCTGTATCATGGAAAAATGAGTGTACAAGCTGAAGTGGGGGGACCCCAACAGAGACTGAGAGGAGATAACTTGGGAATGATAAGTACAGACAACTCTTTAGAGCAGTTTTGCTCTAAATTAAAGAAAATGAGCAGAAACTCAACTAAAATCTTGAGTCAAGAGTTTTTCTGACTCTGCATTTTTGTTTTGTTTTCTTTGTTCGTTTTTAATTTTTTGGTAAGTTTTTTCTTAAGATGGAGAACATTACATCTTGTAGTATGCTCATGGGCATGATCCAATAAAGAGAATAACTAAAGAGTACAGAAGGAAAACCTTTGTGCAACAGGAAATGTGATCAGTACATAAACAATTTCCTTTGTAAAAGAATGAAAGGAGTACATGGGTCTAAACACAAGTAGGTTGTCAGATTTGGGGAAAGAAAAATTTGGGGAAAGCAATTTAAGTTCATATTTGTGTTCGATAATGAAAGTAAATTTCATGATGCCAAGTCACCCTTTACTCCTTGTCCTTCTGTTTAGTCATTCCTTTAGTAGCATACTGATACTTCTATACTATCCCCCAATATTATTTCACTTTAAGGTACAACCATCAACTAAGGAATCCAATAATCACATAAATGAACACTGTGAAACGGCTGTTAGTTACTTTCATTGCAAATATATTACTTAATTCCTCTTACACATTTTTGTTTTTAATCAAAGCATAATCTTCAGAAATAAAGTAGTATCAATTCTAATTTTAACTCTCAAAGTCATAGTTGTCTAACAATTATCTCAGGTTGCTTTTCTCTCATATAAAGGAAGAAAGAAAGAAAAGAAACACAAACTCCAAAGAATTCAAAAACAAACAAGAAGCATAAAAATGAGTTAATCTTGCTTCATTTGAAATAAAAGCTTAAATTAGCATTTTGTTTTGTCAGTGAAATATTTCTAAGAGATGATTTATTATTATTCAATACAATACAACTGGAGTGATGTCAGCATGATGGTGGACTGAGTTGTTCCCTTTGTCTCTCCCATCTAAGTCACAACTAAACAGACATGCATTAACCAACAGAGGATCCCCTACAGCAGAACAGGACACCTGAGAGATCCACACAGCCATTAACCTGAAGGTGGGTGGACTGGAACCCCAGGAAGCAGTGGAATTAGGTGAGCAGACCACTCCCCTTCCCCAGTAGCAGCAATCCAGGTTGTGGGTCATCACACAACAGCTTGCGTGACTATAACAGGAGGCAGATGCAGCCCGGAAAGTGTGTCGATGCTTTTGGAGTGGTAGTCCGGCCCATGGGAGCACCCACCCTGCCCTGGTGTTCCCACCTGTGGGAATGCTCCCCAGTGAGTAGAGGCAGCTCAGCCCTCATGAAGGAGCCCCACACATTAAGAGAAGCAGTGCAGCTAAAATGTCAAGGAGCACGGAGCCAACCCATTTGGGAAACAAAGTGCCCCTGCCCTCTCACCTCCTGCAGGAGCTTAGCCAGTCACCTGCCAAACACAGCAGTCCTGCCCACACAAGAACAACCTGCTGATGGAGCCCACGGGCCCTGACTGAGCATGCATGTGTGACCCACCAAGTGGCTGTGGCCAGCACACAAATGCAGAGAAATCTTACTGGCACAACTTCCACCAGATGGGGCCAGATCAGAAAACACAGCTCCAGCACCCAATTCCCAGTGGTGGCACGTGTAACCTACAACCTGATACTACCACAAATATGCCAGCAAAGGATCAATTCATCAAACACCTTGAAAAACTACAGTAACACTTCAGAGCAGAAGGAAATGACAAATCTGTAGAAACTAGTCCTGAAGAGAAAGAAATTTTTCTTTTCTGCTTTATCTCCCCAGACCCCCCTGTACATAGTTGTATATCTTAGTTGTGGGTCCTTCCAGTTGTGGATAAGTCAAAGAAATTTATAATCTAAATGATGAAGAATTCAAAATAGAAGCCATAAAGAAACTCAATGAATTACAAGAAAATTCAGAAAGACAATTCACTGAGCTCAGGAAGAAAATTAATGAGCAGAAGGAATGCCTCACCAAAGAAATTGAAACTCCAAAAGAAACCCAAACAGAAATTCGGGATTTGAAGAACAAAATTAGTGAGACAAGAAATAATGTAGAAACCAGGAAAAACAGAGCTGATGTTATCGAGGACAGAATTAGTGATTTAGAGGACAGAAAATACAGGAATGCTTCAGGTAGACGACAAGAGAGAACTAAGATGTGTAAAGAATAAAGAAATTCTGTGACAAATATCTGACTCAATTAGGAAAAGCAACATAAGGATTACAGGTATTCCAGAGGGAGAAGGGAAGGAGAAAGGAGCAAAGAGCTTCTCCAAAGAAACAATAGCTG